TTGCACTTTTTAGGTCGTGTTTCTTGCATGCTGTAGTTTTGTCATTTGTATTTTTTTATTAAATGTGTTGCGTATGCTCAGTGGATATTCTTTGAAATATAAATATGTGGTATTTTATTGTTTATAACTGAGATTATATTGTAGTTTGTTTATAATATCGTAAATGTGTTCTTGTCATTTCAGTTTTATTTTAATTTGGGATACACCAAAATTAAAATTCTGGGCTCATGGGTTTTGATTGTAATTAATTTTTAAAATATTTTTTACATTTTTAAATTTTTTTTAACATTTTTAAATTTTCTAATTTAATTTATTTTATAAATTTAACATTTTAAATTGAACGTTTAGTTTTTTTTTGTTGTTATTTTAATGTTTCTTAAAAATATATTTTAATTTAAGTTCAACTAAATGAAAATGAGTAATGTTGCTTCAAAAATGGCAAAAACATATCTTTCAGTTATTCGTTGATTAATTTTTCTTCGTTATTTATTAGGTATGTTTGCATGTTCTCCCCTTGTGTGCGTGGGTTTCCTACAGGAGCTCTGGTTTCCTCCACAAGTCCAAAGACATGTGGTATATAGGTGAATTGGATAAACTTAATTGTCCGTAGTGTGTGTGTGTGAATGAGTGTGTATGGATGTTTCCCAGTGATGGGTTGCAGCTGGAAGGGCATCCGCTGCGTAAAACATATGCTGGATAAGTTGGCGGTTCATTCCGCTGTGGCAATACCGGATTAATAAAGGGACTAAACTGAAAAGAATATGAATGAATGAATGTAAAATAGTTACTTTTCCTTGTGAGACTGGGCTTGCTCAACAGCACTTAAATGTTAGCGGTAAATGGACATTTTGTAAAATTTCAGTATCGATTGTTATCGAAGTTGATACTTTTGACAACCCTAGTCTAAAATTACAAATTTGAACTTTAGATTGAACATTTTAATTGCAATTTTAATTGCATTTTTTTTTTGGGAGTGCATTTTCATTTATTTATAATAATTTTCATATTTACATAATTTATTTTTTGAGCATTTTTTAACAGTGTAAAAAAAAAAATAGTTCAACCTAAACTGAAAAATCTTCTCTTTTTTTTCGTTTTACACAAAAGAAGTTACAGTTGAAACCAGAAGTTAATACACTGTATAAAAAGGCACATAACCATTAAAAAAAAAAAAAAAAAAAGTCAGACGTTAATGTGACTAAACTTTTCCTCGTTTAGGTAAGTTAGTATTATCACATTTGTTTCTGTTATGCTTAATAGGAGAATAATGAGAGAGAGATTTTTTTGAGAAATTGTTATAACTTTTCTTGTAAGTCAAGTTTACATACAATAAGATTATTATCCTTCTGAAAAAGCTCAGATGATGATGTCAAGGTTTTGGAAGTTTCTGATTGGCTAATTGACAACATTTGAGTTAATTGGAGGCAAAACTGTTGAATAGTATTCAAAGAAAACCTCAAACACACTGCTTCTTCGTGTGACAACACGGGAAAATCAACAAGCCAGAATCAACAAAAAAGCCAGATTACAATTTGCTAAATTACACTGGGAAAAGGAATATTTTTTGGAGACATGTCCTGTGGTCTGATGGAACTAAGATTGAACTGTTTGGCCATAATGACCAATGATGAGTGTAACATTTGGAGGACAAAGGGGATATCTTACAAGCCTAGGAACACCATGCCAGCTGTGAAGTATGGGGGCGGCAGCATCATGTTGTGGGGCTGTTTTGCTGCAGAAGAGACTGGTTCACTTCACAGCATAGATGGCATCATGAACAAAGAACATTGAAGAAATACTGAAGCAACATGTCAAGACATCAGCCAGGAAATTAAAACTTGGCCTCAAATAGGTCTTTCAAACAGAACATGACTCTAAGCATACAGCCAAATTAGTTAATATTTGCTTTAAGGACAACAGAGTGAATGTTTTGGAGTGGTCATCACAAAGCCCTGATCCTAATCCTATAGAAAATTTGTGGGCAGAGTTAAAAAAAACTTTTGCGAGCAAGACAGCCAACAAATCTGACTCTGTTACACAGATTCTGTCAGGAGGAATGGGCCAAAATTCCTTCAAACTATTGTGAGAAGCTTGTGGAAGGACACCCAAAACATTTGACCAAAGTTATACAGTTTAAAAGCAAAGCTAAAAAAATACCAAAGAAACATATGTTAACTTTTTGACTGTCTAGAAATTAATGAGACATTCTCAAAAATAATTCTCTCATTATTCTGGCATTTAGCAAATGTAAATCATTTAGGTAATCCTAACAGATCTAAATGAGTAAACGTTTAGTATGATTTACCATCAGACATTTAAAAAAATGGTTATGTTACGGGTAACCATTGACTTCCATAGTATAAAAAGTTAAAGAATCACTTGAAGGTGAGTAAACAGTGACTAAATGTAATGTTTTGAGGGATCTACCTCTTTAAATTTGTTGATTCAACTGAAACTTTAACTTGCATAAGTCAAGCTGAATAAGAAATATAAAGTTTAACTTTGTATAAAAATGTAATAAAATAAGTTAAACTTGAACTCTCCAAACTTTTTTAGACTTTTTGGCTGATTGTTTCACTTTATAAGACTTTGATAGCTATATTTCCATCCATGAATTCATAATGCACATTTTGGAATATTGCATCAAAAAATTCTTAATAGAAATGCCCCAAAATTTTGTGACTTTTTTTTTCAGCTTTTTTATTTTTAATGAATTTGCAACAATTTTAGAAAATCTTTTTTTCACATTCGTCACATTTTCATTATGGGGTATTGTGTGTAGAATTTTGAGGAAATAAATGAATTGAATCCATTTGGAATAAGGCTGTAACATAAAAAAAGTAGAAAAAGTGAAGCGCTATGAATAATTTCCGAATGCACTGTAAATGCGGTAGTGTATGAGTGTGAATGAGAGGTCATGGGTGTTTCCCAGTACTGGATTGCAGCTGGAAGGGCATCCGTTGCAAATAACATATGCTGGATAAGTCGATGGTTCATTTCACTGTGGCGAACCCTGATAAATAAATTGACTAAGGTGAAGGAAAATGAATGAATGAAATAATTGTTGTCTTGGCTTTTGTCATTATGTTTTTACAGCAAAGTTATTGACTTGTATTATATGACTCACCAGAGTCCACTGTTTCATCTAAAAATCTTCTTTAATGTTGAACTGAGTTAAAAAAAAAGTCTGAAGATAGACTAGGGATTGGTAAATGAACATTACCTTTTCATTTATGGGTGAATCGAATGTTATTCCTTCCTGCTGGAGTGCAATGTAATCTTAACGCCTTCTGCATGACATTCAGACTCATTTCTGCATTACAGCAATATGTGCAGTTGAGCTTGTGTTAAAAAATATATATAAAAAATGTTTCAAGCCTCAAACCAACAGATCCATTGTTAATTTCTATTTCATGCGGCGCCTCCTGGAAACTCCGCAAAAAATGGATAATCCTCCCTGTGGTTTTTCACTCATCTCGGGGCGTTTTCCTGCTGTCGCCTTCAGCTGGCTCACTGGAGGTTTCACAGCACTATTCTCTGTAAAGCTGCTTTGACATGAAGCGGTGTTGTGAAAAGTGCAAGATGTATAAAATTGAATTGAACTGAAATCCCTTTTGTGAGTGGCATGTACAGCCTACGTCAGATACGAGTCTTATGAACTGTTTGTTGAAGAGGCAACCAACACACAGCTAAGAGAACAGTGCAGCCTTAAAATACTCTTTTATTGACATTTTTATTATTTGCTTTGCTGTTAGATTTGTTTCTGTTATTCTAATTTCATGTATGTTTAAATATTGCATTAAAATGTTTTCTGGCAACACCAATATGTGTATACATTTTTTAAAAAGTGCATACAAAATATATGTGCACAAATGAAAAAAATGTGCATTGACTACAATAAAAACTCATTTACATATTATATTTCAGCATGCTCATTAAAAGTCAAGTGATTTTATTTCAATGATTTAAAAAAAATATATTATTGTAATTTTATTATTGCCAAAATGTAATTTTATATAAATTCTAAACAAATTAAATTAAATTAAATTAAATTAAATTAAATTAAATTTAATTTAATTTAATTTAATTTAATTTAATTTAATTTAATTTAATTGAATTTAATTTAATTTAATTTTACCCTTACGAAAGGCAAGTCTGTGCTGCTTTTATAATCATATTTTTCATGTAATTTTATATAAATTTTAGACAGACTTATTTTATTATAAGTTTTATTATAAGTATTGTTTAATTTAATTTTTAATTTATTTAAATTAAAATATATATTATTTTATTTAAATTAATTAAATTAATCTTTTTCATATTAGTTAAATTATTTTTTCTTAATTTTTATTAATTTTAATTTTATTTTAAATTAAATTACATTTTAAATTGTATTTAAATTAATTTTAATTTAATGTAGTTAAATGTTTTGTTTTTATTTTATTTTTTATTATTTTAATCTAATTTATTTTGCTCAGATGAAGGCAAGTTTGTCGAATTTATTAAATTTTATTGTATTTTTTTATTTTTCCCTCATAAAGGCAAATGTTATTGAAACTCTTTGGTCATTTTTGAGCAAGGTGCTAATGTTATTGAAACTCTTTGGACATTTTTTAGCAAGATGCTAACGTTATTGAAACCTTTTGGTCATTTTTGAGCGATATACTAATGTTATTGAAACTCTTTGCTCATTTTTGAGTGATATGCTAACATTATTGAAACTCCAGTCATTTTTTGCTGATGCTAATGTTTTAATCTGATGATATATGTTATATGCTAATCAATGATATATGTTAAGCTAAGCTAAAATTGCTCTTGCCAGATCTGGAAATCAGCTAAATGGATTTAAAAAATGCTAAAACTCAACTGTTTAAATCTGAGGGACTTGTAAAATGAGCCTATTTCCAAAAAAAAGTGTTCCTAAAACAAGCAGTCCTACAGTGGTTATACAGTAGATTGTGTCTGTGTGTTTACTGACGCTGTTGTCTTTGTGTTTGCAGGTGCACCTGACGATACTCCAAAGATCTCATTAGTCTGTGATGAGCATCATCATCCAGCGCAGACCCAAGGTACTGAACATCTCAAAAGATCCCGCTTTATATCTTTACGCCCTCGTGCCTGTCAAAAAGATACATCCGTTCGCTCATTTATTGCAGACTGTGTACAGCTGTGGTGTGGTTTTGCTCCCTTTTGTATTAACAGAGCTTGTCTCGACTATTTGGTGGATTCCCCCCCTTCCCCTCCTTCTATACTGGAATTTGAGCATTCAGGGGAGGGACAATATGCATGATCATGCTTTGTGATATGTAGGCCCACACGGAATCTGCGCGCGCAGAATTCCGCAGATTTTTCGGAGATTTTCCGCAGATTTCTGCAGATTTTTAGCCCATTATTAATTCTGTTTATTTACTTGAGTAAATGTGTAAATCTGAATTTATTCAGTTTTTATTCAGTAATTTTATTACTTTTTATTTCATATATTAAGGTTTTAGTTATGATACTCCGCCGGATACTCCCAAAATAATTCCGCAGAAATCCGCAGATTTTTAGATTCCGTCTGGTCCTGGTGATATGTTATCCAAATCTTGATAGCAGTATGGGGCATATTTATTGTTATTCCTTTATTAAATCATTATTTAATTATTGGTCTGTTAGTTTCATTGTAATTTGCATATTTAGTTTTTTGCATTGAGTTTACTTCCATAGAAAAATGTAAGAGAGCACTTGGAAATTCTCACTTTTCCCTCCAGTTTTTGTTTTATTTTGTAAACTACTGATGTTTAACCTTTAGAATATTTGATGAAATAACCTTTTTTTTTTTTTTTTTTTTTTTTTTTTTTACAATTTGTGAAAAAGTGCTGCAGAAGACAAAACTTTTTTGTTTAAAAATTTTAAGAAATATTATTAGAGCTTTAACTTTTGGGTAGCTGTGTGTGAAATATTTTTATTATGTTTTATTTTATCATATTTTGTACAATTGTATGTTACACATTTAGTTTTGTAAATATATCTACTCTATTTACAATCACTGTGAAAAATCATATTAAACTAACAAAGTTTAATATTACATTAAACTAACTTAAAACAGCTTGTATAAATTTAAATAAGTTGAAGCAAAACTTACTTGGTGCAATAAATTACGATTAAAGTAAAGACAAGTCATCATTATATTCATCTCTTTTTTGTTTTTTTCAGTGTGTTGACTATAAAATAGGCTGGAGTTTAAAACATTTATTGGCATATTCTTTTAAATGAAATGACAAATTATAAATCCACTGCTGTCCTTTTGACCCTTGCATGACCTCCGACAAAGTTCGCATCCAGGAGGTCGATGGATTTGCATGACTTCCCGATTGTCATCATCATCACAATGCAATCAGTGTTTGTCAGTGGCCAAATCAGGATTAGATGCGAGCGACTGTCAGGAAAGCCACACCTCCTCCGTCTCTGAGTCCCGCTCTGATTAAATAGAATTGATTTAATTGGGTTTCCCCACTGCGCGCTCCGGCTAATGGGATGTAGAGGTTTTTGATCACTGGTACGCAGTGACCGACTGTGACCCGGCTCAAGTCAAGCGCAGCGGCTCTTTTCTCTGTTTCAGCTCGATGCTTGGTGTGTTTGAAGATGAAGCTCCGTCCAGCGGTGGTCAAGATTTTGACTTCATCTCTAATTACAGTTTGCATCGGAGAAAACCTTTCTCGGCAGTGTAGATTCAGTAACGGCCTCATCAATTAGTTGTCTTAAAAGTGGAGTTGAGCTAGAAAGTTGGGATTGAATAGTTACTAATGGGTTCTGCGCTTCACGACATTCTTTATCATAGACGTCATTGTCTAAAAATGGCAAATAATTAAAAGAATAATACCAAAAAGCAGTGGTCACCACCCTTTTTAGCCGAAGATCCCTAACCTAAGCACCTGTGTTTCCGCTCTGTGTTTGGTGTGTTTGAAGATGAAGCTCTGTCCACCGGTGGTCAAGATTTTGACTTTAAGTGTTTTGAAAATCTTTAGTCATTTGAACGAGATGCTAATGTTCTTGAAAGTCTTTGGTCATTCGTGAGCATTATTAAACCCCTTCGATCATTTTTGAGTGAGATGCTTACATTTATTGAAACTCTTTGGTTAATTTTGAGTCAGATGCTAATGACATTAAATCTCTTTGGTCATTTTTGTTGCAGATGCTAACGTTATTGAAACTCTTTGGTTAATTTTGAGTCTGATGCTAATGGCATTAAATCTCTTTGGTCATTTTGTGGCAGATGCTAACATTATTGAAACTCTTTGGTTAATTTTGAGTCTGATGCTAATGGCATTAAATCTCTTTGGTCATTTTGTGGCAGATGCTAACATTATTGAAACTATAAGTAATTTTGAGTGAGATGCTAAAGTTGTTGAAACGTTTTGGTCATTTTTGAGTATAATTGAAACTCTTTTGTCATTTTTAAATTCGAGATACGAACGTTATTGTTTTTTAGCAATATCCTTTTATTATATAAACAACAATGCAAAATTTGATTCTTACATTTTGTTATTTAGCAGACGCTTGTGTCCAAAGCGACTTACAACTGAAGAGGCATTCAGCGATTCAACAAGAAAGGCAATACACTCAAGAAGTGCTAATTATAAAAAGCAAATGTTAGTGCTTAGAAAATTAAGTGCTTAAGTAAGGGTGTGTGTGTTCTGTTTTTTAGATGGAGAGAAAAGAGTGTTTCTACAGGTGGTTTGTCAAGCCCACTCACCTATGTGAAATACACTTCATAAATGCACAGCATTTTTTTATTTTTACTTTATGATTTAACAAATGTAAAAACATGTTTGGTAGGGTTGCACATTACATCGTTTCAGCATAAAAATTGCAATGTGCGCATCTGCAATGATCACATCGCAAGATGTTGTATGAATTAAAGTTGAGCAAGAGCTACAGCATTGTATTTATCTACTGCATTTATGAAGATTTTATACGATTTATGCAAGAAAAAAAAAAATTACTTAATTGTTGTCTTGTTTCTAGTCCAAATATCTACATTTCAAAGCGAAAACAATATTACTTTATTTACCCCAATGGCAGGTAATTATGCTTGTTTTAAGGCAAAACTCTTGATTTTAACTTATTTCTTCTGAAAATAAGTAAATGCAAAAACATATTTTTACTTAATCTACTTTTTTTCTATATTTGGACTAAAAACAAGATAGAAAAGTATGAAAAGCATTTTTGCATTGTGATTATTACATTTCTGTTCTTAAATACTGTTAGACGGCCTAGAAAAGCATCAAATAGAGCTGTTCAAACCATCTTGTGAGACTCTATTCATATCACAATATTTATCTCAGAAAAAAAAGTTGCAATGTCAGTTGTCTAATATCGTGCAGGCCAAGTGTCTGCTGCAAAACTGGTGTTAAGTGTCGGTTGAAGTGTCAAAGAGATGAAAGGTAGAGTTTGTTTTCTACAGGTGGTTTGTCAATCCTACTCACTTGTGTGAGGCACACTCAGAATCCTTGTGTGTACTAAGGAAGAAAGAAAATCACACAGGGGAATGTGTTTGACGGGGAATGAATAAAAACCTTTAATTCTGAGTTGAACTTCTCTTTTAAACCACTGATGTGTGGTGACAGGACATTTGATGCATATTTAGATAAACTCCAATAATCCTAATTGAGCAAAGATTTAACAGAGATAGGATTGTGAAATGTTAAAGATAATATCACAGTTGTGACAACTGAAATTACCTCAACATTGCAATCTTGTTAAGCTGATTATAATCTTTTCAGGCTGAAAGCTTTAACTTAGGATTTAAATACAGTTTTCATTCTTGAATATGAATTATATAAACTATTTCAATGAGAAGGGGCGTCACGGTAGCGCATTGGGTAGCACAATCGCCTCACAGCAAGAAGGTCGCTGGTTTAAGCCTCAGCTGGGTCAGTTGGCATTTCAGTGTGGAGTTTGCATGCTCTCCCCGTGTTGGCGTGGGTTTCCTTTTGGTGCTCTGGGTCCAAACACATGCGCTTTAGATAAATTGAATGGGCTAAATTGGCCGTAGTGTATGAGTGTGAATGCAGGAGTGTATAAGTGGTTCTCAATGTAGGGTTGCCGCTGGAAGGGCGTCCGCTGCATAAAACATGCTAGATGGGTTGGCAGTTCATTCCGCTGTGGTGACCCCTGATTAATAGAGGAAATAAGCCAAAAATAAAATGTATGAATGAATTTCAATGAGAAAGTAGCAGTTCAGCCTATGTGTGTGTTCAGGACAGTTCACAAAGTAAAATAAATCTCTTAAATATATATATATATATAAATAAATATAAATATGTACAGTTGGTCATTTTTGAGCGGGATGCTAAAAACATTGAAACTCTTTGGTCATTTTTGAGCGAGATGCTAACATTATTGAAACTTTTTTGGTCATCATTGAGCTAGATGCTAATGTTATTGAAATTTTGGTCATTTTTGTTGCAGATGTTAGCGTCATTGAAACTCTTCGGTTAATTTTAAGTCAGATGCTAATGGCATTGAATCTCTTTGATAATTTTGTGGCAGATGCTAACATTATTGAAACTCAGTAGCAATATTTATTGAAATTGTAACAATATTTTTTGAAATAAATATTGCTCAAGGAGAGTTATTAGCTCTCCTTGTGCAATATTTATTCTTTCAAATATTTCTGAAGTGATTAATTTTCACAATATTTCCAATATAAGAATAAAAGCCGTTGTTACTTTAAGTCATTTTAAGGTCAATATTATTAGCCCCCTTAACCAAAATATTTAAAAAATTTGTCTACAGAACAAACCACTGTTTGTTACAAACACTTTCCTAATTACCCTATCCTGCCTAGTTAACCTAATGAACCTAGTTAAGCCTTTAAATGTCACTTTAAGCTGAATACTAGTATCTTGAAAAATATTTTGTAAAATATTATGTGCTATCATCATGGCAAAGATCAAAGAAATCAGTTATGTTATAACATGTTATAATTTTTGTCTTGGGGAGGGGGGTTGCACATTTAACTGAAGAAATTGGTTATGCAAAAACGAAAAAAATTTTTTTTTTTTACAAAGAATAGACAGCAAGA